CAATTGCGGGGTCCCCGCAAACATAAAGCTTCCCGTCATCCGTCTACCGTCATCGCGAGGTTCAGCGTGCAGCCTGATCTCGGGTTTAAAGCGGAATGCCTTACATTTAGCGGTCTTTAGTGGTTTGGGGCGTTGCGGACGCCTTGCGGGAGGTCTAACGTTAATCATTTGATCTATTTAGACCCCTGAACGCGGCACTTAGCATCTAGGGAAGTGCGGGGTGTGTTTTGCGGGGTTCCAATGCTACTAAGCTTAGCCTCATGGTGGATACCCAGGCTTGGGGATGGGGATGGTTTACAAAGACCGATAGTTAGTGCCATTCTATGCCCTGGTCGTTAGGTCCAAGACGTTGGGACAGTTTTTCTGGGATGGAGTGTGATTAAAGGGGTTTAAGATTTGAGTAGCTTGGGTATGTTAATAAACGACGTTCAGGGGCTCAGGGGCAGTAAAGTGGGTCCCGCCTGACCTCTATCAAAAGTCAGAAACTTGAAGGACGGGAAATGCTAGTCCATATTAAACTTCACAGTAAAATTACTATCTTGAAGTTCTTATAATTGCTCTAGGTTATTGCCGAGCCTAGGATTCTATCCTAACATCATTAATCCTTTGTTTGAGCTTGGTTACTAACATGATAATAAGGTAGAGGTGGTTAGCTTACTTAGTATGCAGTACCGATATCCGAGCTTCATTTTACTGCTATAGAGTCATGGTTCATGATCCTGACTGCGTATCACACACTGCAAAGCCAGAGAAACTTGCAGTCCCCTCGCTGACCAGGTTCTTTATATCACGGCTTTTACACTTAGGTTCTTCATTTTGCGCGGTGCAAGATTACTCAAGCAGGTAGGCAATGGGATGCTGATGCGGATGTCAAAATACTTATTAGTATCAGTCACTGGAGTACAGTAGATCAGTATGGCTTGAGGGAACCTGGTCACCCTGAGATCATATCACAATGTCTCATTGAGGAGATATATGACTAATATGATTAAGGTAGGTAACTTGCAAACGACTCTGAAAATCAGGTTTACCTTTGCCCGAATAAAATGTGTAATCTATAGAAACCGGGAGATCTAGACCACAGTTTCGGTCCTGTCCACCACCCGATTGACTTGTGCCCTCCGACAGATTCCTCAATGACTTGTTCTTTCCTCGATAATTGACCATAAACCATACAAATAACGTTATTGCGGTTAGCGGGATGCATATCTCAACGTAGAGCGCAAAGGCCCCTGTGTGCAGCTGCTACTGCCGTTAAAACTCCTCGGATCCCTTTACCTGAATGATTCCACTTTGCAAGAATTTCTGGTAACAAGATTAGAAGATATCAAGCAGCTAGATGTGAGGCAGTTCCTTACCGATATGAACGTAGCAGGTAGGAAAAGGATGGCAACAACGGTGACAACGTGCATCGAAACTGTTTCCTTCTCCACCCAGACTGTCATTTCCAGGGAAATCTGATGTTCAGAACTGACTATCCTGCGATAATATTAGAGGGTGTCGGAGGCAACGAAGTGTGGGCAATACGTGGTTGTATTGGTGAGTTGGTGAAGAAAAAGGCAGTGGTTCTGGCTGCAAGGCAAGAAGAAGAGCAAGGCAGTGGGCCTGGGCCCACGCCCCACAGAGGGTGACCCCTGCATCTGTTTCAGGGACGCCACGGCACGGGCCACTACGCTTCCCTTTCGGCCCCGCACAGCAAATCCTTTTCTGACGGATTTGGTGGCCTTGGTATGACTGCGCTTACCTTTTTACATTATTCCAACTGCGTACCTTAAGGTATCTTTTCCTGAGGAGCCTATCTAAGACGATCGCAAGGGAGATTAGAAGTGATTTCATGTCGTTGTTTATGTAGCTATCGATTATCGAGGATGCCTTCCAGAGTTCTGCCTGCAGATGGCGGCCTCAAAGCGTTTTGGGAAGTTTCTATTGGCGCGTGAGCCAGCCACATTATGTCGTTGGGCTTTAACTCCGCGGCAACTGCTCAGAAAATCTATCGTCGATCTCTTCAACTATCTTTGACATAACTGCGATAGATACGCCCCTAATCGAGAGTGTACGAGAAGGTTATAGCTGGTAGTCTAAAGAAGAGGTTTAGATTGTTTAAATAGAAAAAAGAGAGTCGGGAGAAATTAAAGGTATAGGACGGTCCGGAAATATATAATAGTATCGCTTTAATAAATTTATTAAAAGGTATAGATTAACGGTAAACCTTCCTTCCCCTATTAATAGGCTCTAGTTTCCGTTCTTCGCCTTAAGTAAGCCGCTTTATCGACTACAGTAACCCCTTTACTCCCGCAATCGACGATAAATATCTCTTAAACCCCCGCTCTAATAATACCGCTTACCCCTTTAAATAAAATATTAGTCGTTTTAAGTAATATTAGCGATAAGGCTATAAAGGTACCTTAAATAGTAATAGATAGTTAAGTAGTAGAGATCGGAGAAAACTTAATTACGGATACCTCTCTTTAGGATAGAGCCTACAATACTTTTAAGGAAAAAGAGCCCGATCGAGTTACTAAGTATAAGTAACTTTTATTTAAGGTATTTATTAGAGGTATATTATTAATCCGGCTTAAACTATTTTACTCGTATTAATTTAGGAGAATATAATTTTATTTATATTTTAATTAGCGTTAAACTAAACGGATAATATTAAAATTACGAATTAAGTTCCTTAAAACGATCCGATCGTACGCCGAAAGAAATTAAAAAAAATAACGGAATTTAGTTTAAAGTATATAAAAGATAAAAAGGTTAGTATAATACTATTAGAATACGAGATTATTCTCTAGGATATTATAGTAAAGGTTGCCGGAATTATAGAGTAGGTCGAAGGCTATATTAAGGACGCTATTAAGGACTTACTATATACTTTTATCGTTATAATAGGCGTGTCCCTCGTACTCCCCCTCCTAAAGAACCTTACCGCCGCTAAAAAAGTAAACCGGGATAGGTTTATTTATATTACGTTATAAATACGTTATTTCGCTATAATAGAGTTATTATTATTACTTTAAAATATAAAGCCCGATTTAAAGGGCGACTTTACGGAACGTTTTATTAATTTATATAAATTTATTATTAATTTTTAAGTATAAAACGTTATTCGGTTTTACTGTATTTAAATTAAAAAATTTTTCCGAGGAGTTATTAATTACGATAGTTAGGATTAAAAGCTATAGTATATTAAGGATACCGACGTAGCGCTAATTTCGAAGTTTAAAATAATTATATTTATTAGCCGTCTTTAAATATTAAAGGATTTTACTAAGAGAGTAAAGGAATTACGTATAGCCTTTAATAATTTACTTACTAAAATATAGGAATATATCGAAGTCTTTCGATAATAATTAAATATTTTTTAGAAGATTAGTTAGTATATAATAGATCTCTAGGACTATACTTATCTATAAAGTCTCCGAATAACTAATCCGTATAATAATAAAAGCTATATTAAGTAAGCTAAAGGCGGCCTTCTAATAGGCTTATACTATTAGATCTTTAATAATAACGATTTTAAATAATAATATAATAATTAAAATAACCGGCTATTATAAATTAAAAGTAACCTCGGTAAGGGCAAAATAATATTACTTTACGGAATTATCGACGAATTAATAAAGTCGATCCTTAATATTATAATTATTTCGTTCTTCTTTTACTAAGTTACTAATACGCATATAAATAACGTTACGGCTATCCTTCGTAATTTAATATTCTTTTTTATTAATTATTAACTATCGTTTATTTCGTATATACGGTAAAGGTACGATTAAGCGGGGAAATAACTTTTTAAGGATATAAATATTTAGGAGGCGCTATTAAAGATCTTTATTAATATTTTTAAAGATCCGTACTTATAAAGTACTTACTTAGTTATTAATACGTTTAACGAGTATACCCGAAATTTAAATCGATTCGTTAACTTTATTACTAAAACGTTATTAATATATTCGGATATTAAGTAGATCGTATCTAATCGTAACTAACCGAATATCGAGAAGGGTCTTAATAATACAATATAGAAAATAAAATTATATTTTAAATTAAACGAAGAATCTATATTTATAACTATTATTAATTATATTTAGTTTAAAGTTAATTTATTAACGAAATAAAATTAATATAATAACGATATACGAAACGCTATCCGGGCCTACTTATCGTCAAACGTATATAATATTTTCTTTTAAATAGCTTTAGTTTATTAGGAACTTACCGGTATTTCGGGATAGGAAATTAAAGAAATATTAACGGTACTTCCGCCCGGACTAAATACCCTTTACAAATGAATAATAAGTTAGATTTATAGTTTAAAATACTTTAAACTTTATAAAAATATATTAACTATTATTTTAATTATACATTAATTAATTATATTAAATAAATTACCGTTTTTAGTAAATATACCCCCTCGATACTTTAATAATCGCGAAATTCTAATAAAAATCGTAGAGCTTTATAGCTCTTTTTTAACGCTCCGAAATTATACTATCGCATTCGTTTATTAATTTACTAAAGA